CGGATTTAAATTTCCGAGATGTATAAATAGTGCGAGAATTTTAAAAAGAGAATATAGCCGTTACTATTGGCCCAACCAGCTGGAAGAAGCTTTGCAGAGTGATAGTGGAAGTTGGTACGAGCTGTCCCCTCTTCTGAAAGGTGGGGTACGGCCATAGCCAATGAATTTTCGCAACGTGTCAAATACAGCTGTTTCCCTCGCCCATCCAGCTGTCACTGGCAGCAGCAGTGATAAAGCTCTGGTCCCTTCGCAAGGGCGCTTGATTCCTCCCCAACAAATTCTCGTACAAAGCCCGTCACGCAATTACATAAAATAAACCCACTCGCCCGCTATAGCCGCCAAGATCTCTCGTATCAACGGCACGGAAGGCGCGTAGTGGTGACGAGTAGAGAATTGGCGAGTACATGGGACCAGGGTTAATATTCTTTGTTTTATAGTTTTGCATCTTTGTTTTTTGTTTTACTTTGCTGACTCCGGAGCCAGCTGGCAGAGTCGCACCCCACTACAATATGCCATAATGGTATTTAAATCAAATTGATTCTTAGATATAATTCTTGAAGATCTATGCTCCTATAACAGGGAATTCTTTTGATTTTTTTCTAATAATATATCATCATCAAAATTCTGAAGAGGAAGTACAGGGTTGGTGGGGTAGACGAATACATTACTTACGTACTTGTCCGATCCAAATACGTACATTATATATATATATATATATAATATTTACAATAGAAGCATGGTATATTCAAGTTTGAAATGCATTTTTAAGAGCATTTAGATCCACCCATTTTTGCCTCCACACTCTTTCAAACTTCTTTAAAGATACAGTTGCTTTCCTTTTCTAAAATTTAAAAAATTATATCACTCTTTTAGCTCAGTATACGAGCAAAAATAAACAACAAATTTTTTTTTCTTTTTTTTTTGTATATATACTAGTTTAATCACATATTCGAAAGGTACACTTTACAAGTAAGTGATGTCTCTTAGTCAGTTAAATTATATTATGTTTGTGGACAAATTTAACGTAAAACCATTTAAAAATAAGTATTATCAAAGAGTTTATATATTTTTTTTTTAATTAGATCTAACTATTTTAACTTTTAGAAATTTGTTTCATCTTCTAATTTTTCAAGAAAAATTTGTATTCGTAATTTTCATATTATTTCATATGATAAAAATTATAGGTCACTTAATTCTAGACTCAATACTAAATCATTATGTAAATAAGGTAGCAAGTACACATTGTATTATATTTTATGTGAACTTCAATATGAAATTTTGAGGTTATTATACACGATATGATACATAAATTTTTAGGTAACTTTTTGGTCCTAATTTTTTACAACTTTCAATTTATTCTTTATGCATTATAAATTTTAAAGGAGGTGAACTGTGAAAATTTGTTAACAGTGAGTTGATGTATTATTTTTTTTAGTACAACATGGGGAGGTAATTATTTAAACTCATAACCTTTTGATATAAGATATTGCTTTAATTTTGCTCATGTTAAAGTTGATGTATTATTAAGTTATCATTGTTATCATCTTACTTACGTATTTAGATGCATGTGCATGTTAGTCGAGTGGTACTTGACACGTGAAATCAATTCGCTCATTAATACAAATTTAATTTGTCTATTAACAAAATAATAATTTAATGACAATTCAACTTTTTTAATAACAAATTGTAAACACTTTTACAATAATATTTATAATATATATATTTTGACATATATAGGAATATTTAATTGATCGATTGTAAGTTCGTGAATATGAACAGATTAAGGGCAAAATCTAGATAATAAAAAATTTAGGGACATTTTATATTTTAGTCAAAATTTAATGATAAACATCGAAACAGATTTTTATATAAAATTTAACGAAGAAGACTATATAATATTTTAAAATATAACAAGGAACGAGTATAAATCTGCTTCCCAAGACAAGAGTATAAAAATTTACAAAATTAAAGTAGAAATTGGATATTTTCTTTCTTTTTTGCAACCTTACTTGAATCATGAATGTGTGGCTGCCAAAGTAAACTTGGGATAACTTTAATCATACAGTCACGGAAACCTAGAAAGTACAAAGATTACTGGTCAGTCTTGGAAAGTTATTAACAGTCCAATGGGACTAAGCCACGTGGATAAGATATTTTGGTGCTGTTTGCAATTGCTCGCGCTTGAAGAACAACTGGATAAATTCAATTTTTTTTTTTTTTTGAGAAATAATAGGGCAAGCCTTTTAATTGTACAGGCTGTCGTGGATGGTGATTGGTATTTCACAGATCCCAAGGACATCAATAAATTACTCGACAAGCACAAAATAAAATGAAAAATTAAAAAACAACAATTCATATTCTTTTCAGAAAAAAAAAAAACATTTTCAATTCTTGAAATTTTGAAAAACATTCGACTTTAAATGCGACATTTTCAAATTCTCGATTAGATAGTATATTGTCAATCTTTCAAAAAGGAAAATGATAAAAGTATATTGCTTGTGCCACATTCTATCAAAATATCAAATTCATGTCTTGTATTAATTAATATTTATACTTACATGATCATCTATCCTTCTTTCTTTTTGAGAAATTTCCACACTGTCATTTTTGTGTCCATAAAATATCAACCCCAACACAACATTCTTTAGATATCCAAAACTAATCAACGTCTGATCCAAGGGGTAGTCCAATTAATAAGAGTTTAGAGTTTTTTTTATTATATTGGTTTACAGGTCTCATATTCGAACCTTCCAATGAATATAATTTGAAAATTCCTTAATATCTCTCGAGTCCAAGTCTTTGGACAAATGCGGACATTCGAATATCCAATTATTAAAAATAAATAAATAAATAGAGCTAAAAATCAGTAAATCACAGTGATATTAAATAATGTAGAAGGGGGAAAAATGAGAACATCTGTTAAGGGAGTGGATGTGGATGAGTGTGAAATAGAATTGAAATGCATGGCATGGGCATATCACCATCAGCTGAATGAGAATGAGGAGTCCCATACTAAAACTAAAAGGCCCACTACTATTTCTTATGTCACTCTGTTTTTTTAATTATCCATTGTCACAGTGCGTACCTCGCAATACGACAACCAAACCTGCAAATAATTTCTGTCACACGCAATCATACGTTTCCGGGTACGCCTGACGTGTCACATCCATGTCACCCAACTTACAAATAGTCGATTCCGATAATAAATATTACATTTTTCGTATATCCGGATTCGGCATTAATATAAAGAACAAATCAACATTTCATTATATTTAAAAAATCAATAAGATAGAAAAAATATCAACAAAATATCACTGTGACATATTAATATTAATATTAATTATTTTCAACTTATTTAGAAATAGAAACATGTTTATTCGTTGATTTAAATATTTTTTTACGGTCTTTTAATTTATTTAACATAAATATCCATTTAAAATTTCGGTTTAAATCACTTGTATTGAAGAATTTTTTTCTTATTGTTATTTTTTTACGTGTTAACTTTAAAATTTTTAAGGTGATTGTTTTGGTTTTTGTTTATTAAAATTTTAAAATATTTATTTTAGTTTATAAATTAAAATTAAAATTATTATTTTGGTTATTATAGTTAATTTATTGTCAATTGTTTAATATATAATATAACTTCGGAGCGATGTAATCAAGAGATCATGTTGACAAAAGCAGTCGATTGGTTTTGCCTACTATTTAATTTGAACCAGTGATTAGACATATGTCATCTTGTTAGATAGGAAAAATCGACGGGTTATACCAATGTTCAAGTTGTGTGTGACAAGAATAAATTGAACAAGACGAGTTTTAGGTGGTGGAATAATAATAAGGACCAAAATTTTTAGTTTTGGAAAATTGAAGGACCAAAATGAAATTTAAACTTAAATATTATAGCAATAGCAACCTAGTCCATACAATTTATTTCCTCTCCACTTGTCTCTTACTACTTAAACATGATTTTTTATTTTATTTTTTGAGTGCACTTGAACTTGATATTTAGCATAGTTAATTCCAAGATCTCATTAATTTAATATAACTTTAAAACAAATTGCATTAAGATATGTATATGTTGGTGACGTTAATAGTATTGGAGATTTAAAGATAGTTAGTCATGACAATGTCATATTGTTTTTAGAAACGTGTGTCTTTTTATGTATTTGAATTGATCAAATCTAAGTAGAAACAATAATAGTGGGAGTGGATATTCATATTTATAGCATGCTTATGAATATCTTTTTTTTTTTTTAATGAACTATAAATATTATTTAAAGGGAAGGCCAGGTCAGCAAAAGTGGAATAATAGGGGGATTAGGAAAAGACATGTGACGTGGCTTGAAAGAGGGGAAATGGAACAGTTTTAAAGGCACGTGAAAGTTGAAAGTTGAAAGTTGAAATTGATTGGAATTCACGTGATGTTTAGGGCTTAGAATTTGGAAATTTGATGCATATGTGTTCATCAGTTTGCCCTTTTTTTAGGCAATTCCAACAGCTTCACGTCATCCACGCTCTACTCTCTATTCTTCCTTTTCTCCCTCTTCAAAGTTGTCCTCCACTTTGAATTTATGCACCAAACCTAATTTAATTACAAACACTAAACTACCTCTCTTTATATCTCGTGATGTAAATTTATGACTCAATATATAAATTCAATGTCACTACTATATAATATAACCATTATTGCTTTCATTACTATTAGAAATATTTAGACGATATTTCCTAAGAAATTCATGCCATCATGGTAGTATATTTGAAAGTTGGTTGTATGAGTTAAATACCTTGGAGAAGAAGCCTATAGTCTCGAATCCAATGCAACAAATATATATTAACAAGAGAAAAAATGGAGAACAATATTTTTAAACAGGTGTGCACATTTGTGATTAAACGTCTTAGAGTTCATAAAATTATGTAAACCACCTTTTGTTCATGCCAAAATTAATTTTCAAATAATTTACGTGACATTTCTTTTTTACTTTTCATAACTGTCACTAAAGTCAATATTTGCAACAGTGATGAGTCGGATTGTTGTAAATTTTTTTTATTAAGTAAATGTTCGTTAAAATTAAGCTCCCTTAACTTAAAAAAAAACGCAATATCTAGTTAGTTAATTTTAATTTATAAAGTTATATATTTTTGCTAAACAATTAATTATGTATTTAAAAGAAATAACTAGTTAAAATTAACTATCTCAGAAAAGAAAAAAAAACTAGTTAAAATTAACATTGATATTATAGATTAACTTTGAAGAAATGTACAAATTATTTTTAAAAAGTCATGAGTTCGAATCGCCACTCTCAATGTTGTTGTATTTAAAAAAACATATATTTTTTAAAATAATATATCTTTAGAAATTATTTTTAGTTCAACGACGTATAGAGGTAGGAATTCAAACCCACGAGATCATACATGCATGCCTTCATCAATTGAGGTGACTCTAAGTTAATTTATTTGTAGAAATTAATTTATGGAGTTTTATTAATAATGTTGAGATTTTATTTTACTTATTTATTATTTTTTAGTACGACAGGAGTGTGTGGGTGGAAGATTTGAAACCTTTCTTTCAAAGACTTGTCAATTTCAATTGGGTTAAATTCATGTTCGAGAGATTTTATTTTATTTTATTTTATTCGTCGGAAATGGAGACTATATGGAAGAATAAAAAAACATATCCCTCGAATTAAGGAAGAAATCTCATATAATATAATACATCAATTAATATCTCCACAAAAAAAAAAAGTAGCATACTTATTTTTTTCTGTCGAAATCTATTGAAGACATAACAAAAATTTAATATGAGACTTTTGTGATAATAAACTTTTGTTTAATTAGTAATAAATCAAAAAATTTCCAACCAAGTAAGGTTTTAAACGTCGATGTCAATAAAAATGTTGAAGTCTAAATTTCATGAAAATATCGATAAAATGGTGACGATAGATATTTCGGTAAAAGTTAGAAAAATTAAAAAATCTTAAAAAATATATTGAAAATGAAAATAAGAAACAAGAAACTTTTCTTGTTGTTTCAAAAATTTCTATATCATTTTGAGAATGATTTTAAAAAATAAGAAACAAACAGCATAAATAATTATTAAATGTTTAAATTTCTTAATAAAATTTGAGACAAGAAAAAAGAAACAAAAACGGATCCTCCGGCAGTATCATGTTTCTAACTTGATATATTAGTGTTTTTATATTAAAAAATTATCATTAGGTCCAGAAACGGGCTGAAGTTCAGCCCCATAGACTAGATGTGGTCTCAATTCAGTGGATCTATTCACACCAAAAGGGTTGGGTCTCTGCCTGAGCCAGCGCAGCCCAAAACGAAGCGTTTCATCTTGGGCTATGCCGCAAAATTCGGGCCCAAAATTAAATATTCATTGTGTTCCGAACCGGGTCAGCTACATTATTCATTAAAAGAGAAAAAAATTTGTTTTAAAGCTCAGGCCGTCGGTCTGAGAGTCAGCGCTGTTCTGGTAGCTTGCAAGTGGTGGGTTTGTGGATGGTCAAACTCAATGTTGCTTGCACCGAAAGATACCTACCTTTGTCTTCTTCACTCCCAAAAAACATTGGAAATGAGATTCAATAACGTAACCATTGCTTTCTTCTCTCTCTCTGCAGTTGCAGTTGTTTCCACAGATGCATTTTTAAGATACCCAAATGGCCTTGGAAATTGGGACAACAAGCAAGAGTAGCGTTTAAGCCAAAATTCCTTTGGGATTCTCAGCTTTCTTCATTAAATATTCTCACTCACTTCTACTTCCTCCAGCAACTGCCCAAATTCCAAAACGCTATCATCAGTTGGGTAAGAGACTATTCATTGTTTTATTATTTTACTTTTACCAGCTTCCCATTTACTTCATTTCAAAATTCTAACTTCTGCGTTTCCATCATTGGAGCTGAAGGTCGAATTTTACATTGTTGGGAGTCTGCATTTGAACATGTATTGTCTTTGCTTTTTGAAGATATATTTCTAAAAGATTGAAAGGGATTAAAAAGTGGGGTGTAATTCTGTTGAAGTTTGAAGGCTGTTGAGAAATGGACTTTTGCAGATGGGAAATGTCTCCAAGTGTGAGGATAACAGAGGAAAAGGACTCCACATTTGGGATGTGTAGTTTGACAAACACTAGAGAGGGCTAAAAGATGCAAATCATAACCAAAAGAAGATGGAAAAATCAGAAAGGCTTTCTTCTTCTTCTTTTTCTTTTTCTTTTTCTTTCTTTTTTCAATCTTCGTCTCTGTCACTGTACACAGCCCAATATTTGAATCTACAGTGGAAAAGGAAAAAAAGAAATGCCACCTAATCACCATCCATTTCTGCCGGAAGAAGGAAAAAAAGAACTTTCCTCACTTTTGTACAAATAACAATCCTCAAATTAGGAATGAGATTATGAACAAAGCCAGGGCAGAGATTTCAGCTGACTATGACTTGTCACTCTAGATTTCATGACTTTTCCCATTTGAGATTGCATTTTCTTACAGACGCGCTCCAATTCCATCACCCTCCATTGGATTCCTTCTAAATGTGCTTTCAGCTTCTCATTGTCATCTAGAAAATCGAGCTTTTCGCCATTCAGAACAACTTGGTCACTGGTTTCATCCCTCTTACTGCTCTTGTTTCTGCATTCCTCCAGTTTAGAAGGCAAAGTGGTAATGGATTTTGAGTTGCTAGCAGTTTGAAGTAAGCTTTTGAGATTGGCCTGCTCTGAAACAAGGGCTTGTATGGAAGATATGGATGGAAACCTTATGTTCTTTGAAAGATTTATGCAGGTTTCTGCTGAAAGCTTCTCATAGTTTAGTGCACAACACATCTTCACCTTTTCTTCTTCTGAAATTTCTGCATGAACCTATGAGACCAACATGATTCAGTCCATTTATTCTAAACGAAATTTGAAAATAGGTTTTCCAAGTAAATGGGTTCAAACAGATCAAAAGATATAACCAGAAAAGAGCTATATTGGTTCAAGTCATTACCTCTATGTACATATCCACGGCACGGTACATATCGTCGTGGGAGCTTCGAGCATAATCTGGCAGCGCTTTGGTGAGGGCTAGAAACTTTGAAGGTTTTAAACAAGGGTCAGGAGCCACTTCTGCCATGTACAAATCCATTAATCTAGCTACTCTTCTTAATGGCAATGGAGATGTTCTGCTGGTTTTATCATTCAAAAATGCTTTGACAAATCTCAAAACAAGATTCACATCATATAAATAGTTCATCCCGGATGGAGATGGAAGTAGTAAATTGTCTAGTGATCCTTGATCCAACCGCGAACCGATCATCTTCTCCAACTTATTGCGGATGCATTTGTTTATGTTCAAACCTAAAGCAACTCGAAGAATGCCAAAAAGGCTCTTGCAGGACACAGATGTGTGCTCAAGAGCATAAAGCATTTCGACGACAACCTCAACAATCTTTCTTTTTTCGTCTCTCGTGGCGTTTAAGGATTTCGATTTATGGTAATAGACAAGGAACTTGCTAACAACAACTTCATCAAAGTTTCTCTTGAGCATCAGCTGCACTGCCATTTTAACAAATTCGGGAGTCAGGACTAACAGTTCCTCAAACCACCACAATCCATGAAGGAACCCTGTCTTTAAGCTTTCGGTGCTTTTCGTATCACACGAATACCGCAACGCCGAGCTATCGGGCGAGGAGGTAGATGGACAAGAACTTGCTTCAACCGCTAAACTCAACCTCCCAACAAGAGAATCCAAGAATTTCTCAAGAACGGGTGAAGGGATAAGAGGCAAATCTTGACATCGTTTTAAGGCAGTCAAAAGCTCAGACCAAGTCCAATCGCTGATATCTTCAAGGTATTTCTCTGTTTGTTCCTGCAAATTTTGGGTGCCTGAGATTGAGCCATTCATCTCCATGAATTGTGCTGCAGAATATAAAAGAGGGATATTTGAAGAACTCAATTCAACATTTCCATTGTTGTAACAGAACTTCAAAACCAACTCAAACCCCTCTGCCCCTCCAGGAAAGTCATGGAATATCAACTTCAAATTCCCCAAACTAGCGTTTGATCTACCAAATAACTTCCTCAACCTCCCGGAGTATGAAGCTACAGTTTTCTGCAGAAGTAGCCCAAAAACAGAGAATAAATCAACATAAAAGTTGAAGCAAAAGGAAGTCCTAGGCTGATAAAATTAAAGACTTCAAGTTGACCAGAAAACTGCAGAAGATGAAATGCCCAATCAATGAAGTAAAACAGTAAAAAATGATTGAAGATTAGAAATTGGAACCCAAGAGAAAAAGTAACTAAAGGGGGTCAGTTCAAAGGAGGAAAGAACAGAGGATTACCTTATCCACCAAAAAAATTTCTTCACCATTGACATCCACTTGAAGATTGCAGCAGAGTTCCATCGTCCAGAAACCTCAATACCCCTGGAATGAAACTAAAATTGCGTGGTTTGGAAATTTTAATCCGCAGAAAAAGGCCCTATTTTACCCCAAAAATATGTGGGTACAGGAAAAGGAGGAGAAGAGAAGAGAGAAAAGAGGAAGACGAGAAGCGCAAAGAGACTTCAGGTTGGGCCAAGCCTGCAAATGGGTGTTCTTCAGTAAAATCGATTACTGCACTGCACTGCAGTCTGCACAATGATCCTCAACTGAGATACCATCATAAGATTCTCGCTTCTGAGAGGAGGTGGAAGAAACAAGCAGTAGAAAATAGAAATACAACCAAACCCAACAAGCGGAAGTCAATTATATTATACAAATACCGAGAGAGAGAGAGTATTGGTGTATGGAGTGCAAGTGAAGTGTGACCACTGACATTCCTGCACAAAAAATAAATCTTGAGCGAAAAAAAGTAGTTAATAATAAACTCCACATCCAAAAGCAAAAATAATGATAAAACTTTGGAAATAAATAGCCATTGATTTTGTAGGCCACAGTAGGAGTAGGCTACCCCCAACTCCCAAGTCCATGGTGGAGTGGAGTGGAGTGGACTAGACCAATTTTCGTCCCTCTGAAATCGTGCCACTTGTCCAATGCCTTGAGAAATGACTGGATTGCCCTTGTGCCTGTAACTATCCCAAATCACAGGATAGATCTGGAAGTGGAAATGGGAGGATTTATTCCCGTCTGCTGTGTTGTGTGTTCCCCGCATTTAATTTTATGGTCCTTTCTTTTGAACATTCAAGTTTTGTTTCTGTCCCTCTCACAAAAATGTTCATCCCCGTCGGGTACCGACATTTTTCTGGTCCAGAAATTTTGCTTAGAAAACTAAAATAATGTCATGCGAAAGAAATGAAACAGATACTGAATGGTAATTTGGTGTTGAGTTGAGAGAAGATTACACCTAATAAAAACAAGTATTTGGAACTTTTGAGTTTGGGAATGGGATAGGGATGCCACAGACACAAAGCGAGAGCCAGCCACGTGATCTCAAGTTACGGTTTTATCCCCCTTGGAAAATCTGTATTTACAGTTTTGCCATTGCCCGAGGGAGTGGGAGAAAGTGCTTTTTACGTTTTTACCTCCTCCCCCCGTCTCCATCACGTCTCGTTATGGATCAAATACCTGCTTTTTAACCTAATCATTGCCCAATAATCACCTCTCTCTGGTCCTCAAAAGTTCTAACACGACGCCGTTTTCATCTTAACTTCCTCGTTTGGAAGGGAAGCCAAAAAAAAAAAAAAAAGGAAAAGATTAGAGTTATTGTCCATTTGTTTGGTAATATAGAATATGTAATGCTATTGCCTTTCTCAACATATAAACTCAGTCAAGTTCTTCAACCAACAATGAATACTCCTAAATTTATTTATTGGATTTTAATTTCCAAACCAAAAAAAAAAAAAAAAAACCATCAATTAGTTGTCTGGGGTGGTTGAATTATTACAATTTAATTTCATCTACCCACAATAAAGAAACATGGGTGGATGTTTCAACCCCAAATTGATATAATATATTCTCAAACAAATTCTTGTCAATTTTATTTATTTCTTTTTTCAATTCAACATTGCGGGGACATAGGAAACGAATCTCCAACTTCAAGAAAATAAGTACATGTCAATTATCGTTAACATTATATTCATAATCAAAATATATTATGATATTGATAAATGAATTAAATAGTGATATATTTTCTTTTAAATAAGAATTCTATATATTAGAACAAATCATGACGGTTACTAACTTTAGAACCACACTGAAAATTTCCTATATAGTAACTTCAGATATCTCTCTATTAATTTTATTTTTTTACTTTTGAAATATTTAACTTTTCTATTTACTATAATATATGGGACTGTTCCTTGCCATTAAGTAGGTAGGTGTAAAAAAAACTCATTTCCCATATTATTAATGCTTACGGACTACGAAATAAAAAGCCAAAGAGGGACCGACCAACTAATAAAAATACATTTCGAGTAAATATAATAAAATATCTCGAAGGTTTCTTTTTCTTTACGTCAGTTTCTTTTTATATTCAGACTCTACGCCAATTGACCCTCAAATTTTTATAAAGTATAACTCCAAATAACGCAAAACAAGAGAAAAAAAAAACAACAAAAACCAATGAAAAACAAAATTACAACATAATTTTCAAACAGCCGTTTTCTTTTCTGATCTTGACGGCGAGAGTCTAATTTCCTTTGACAAAGATTGCAACAATTGATCATCATGCGTTTTGGAAGCTTGCTGATGGTTGTTCCACTGTTTCTGGAATATCTAGGGCTACTAACCAGTACTTAGTTATAATATATATTAGCTAATTAATTAAAAAAATAGACAACATTGTTCATTAATGATAAGAGATCGTCTATTTTAGTTTAAATAATTGTCTTAATTGTACAGTTCCTCTCATTCAATAAATAATTTAGATTTTTTTTTTAAAAAAGAAGATCATCTGAAGTTTAAGAAAAGAAAAATAAATAGATCGAGGGTAATTTTGAAAATAAAACTAAATTCTGGGGCAGTTTTAACAAATTTTATAAATTAAGATTGGAGAGAGATTTGGGCCTATGTTGAAATGAATCTTGAACCCAATTCAAGCAACCCATTTTCAGAAGCCCATTTCTTCGCTCTCTTTTCGCAAGCCGTTCTCTTACGGTTGATGTGACATTTCCTTTTATAATTTTGTCAAATGTATTTTTCAACACAAAGTTAAAATTTATGTTTATAATATGCTGTAAGAAAAAATGAATTGATGAATTTAGTAACTATTTCAGATTAAGAAACTTTCTCAGCTAAGGATATTTCTCAATTGTTTTCGGCAACTTGAACCAACACCGACCTTAGCTCAGTTGGTAGAGCGGAGGACTGTAGTTGWGTTTACTGTACCATCGGAWATCCTTAGGTCGCTGGTTCGAATCCGGCAGGTCGGATATTTTTATTTGTACTTTTGTTTTTTTCCCCTAAGTTTTGACGCTCTTAAAAGATAGCTTTGTACATTTAAATTTAATTCTTCTTGTATAATATATTTATTTTTATACTTATTGAATTTTAATTTTCTTAATTCATATAAATGCATTTCCGCTGTGTTTTCCCAAGAAGGGCATAATGTAATAAAGTTGTTCATTTAATATTTGTCATATATCAATGTTTTAAACATTACATCCCAAATATGAGGGTGAAACAATCTCCCTTATTAAATGAGATAAAGAATGTTGGAGGGTAGAAACCAACTTAGACACATGTATCATTCAGCTCGAAAGCATCTAAATAATTTATCTAACCAAAAGGAGAAAATCGGGCCTCAGATCCAACATTCTGTAACCGTCCCAACCTCCTATCAGAACGGTTCTGATGGACTTGTCCCCCACTCTACTAATAAAAGGATGAACGTCATTTCTCTTACTCAGATACACAATTCTGTTTAACGTTGACTTAGTGTTTTATTTCTTCCGTGCAGATTTCTCCTTGTACAGTTCGTTTCTTCGTAACTCAGTAGAATTCAACATCAACAAAAATATATTTTAATGCATTGACATATTTTTAGGTTGATTTTGCTTTACAACAATCGAGTGATCAAAATAATAATAATATAAGTATGCTAAGAGCATTTTTCGATTTAAGATAATATTGAAAAACACATATACAAGATAAAATAAAGTTTTCTGGAGAGAAAATATATGAGAATTTCGTAGTCGTTCTCAATTCGCACATCTTGAGAATCTCTCTCTACAGTAAACTTTGCATGAAGATGGACCGCCATGTTACATCTCTTATTGGTTAAGCGTCACATACTCATTGTTCGAGATTAGCTTCAAGTTTTGGTTCATCATCTTTCTCTCTATTTTTGTACTACAATATGTAGAAGAGATTCAAACTCACGACCATCCGGTCGAACATGTATACCTTAATCCATTGAATTATGTTCCGGTTAACTATCATCATTCTCTTTTCTCCTTATTTAATAGGTTGAAAATCCTACTAGATTTAATCAATTTAAAGCTTCAAATAAGTCCAACTTCAGGAAATATACAAATCCTCTTTTACTGCCAAACCTTCCGCAAGATCAACATTACATATATTGTTGCCACAATATTCTACATATTAAAGAGATAAAGTAGTCGAATGTTACATTCAAACTTATTATAGAGATAAAAGAATATAAAACATCCAAGWACTAATTAATTATAGGAAAATCATTTAAAAAATATATAATTATAGGGAAATTGCCACTTTTTATTCCTCTTCAATAATCTTGAATTTATATGAAAGAGTGAAACTTGTTTGACCAAATGAGTACTACCTGATCCCTGGAATCTATGAGGATAATGCAAGACATGCAATTGAGATTAAGAGATATTAAAGTACGGGTTAAAAAAATCCATTAATGCTTTTGTAAGGAATGAAAGAGTAATAATATCGGTATTATAAACTCATTATTTTAACCTATTCAAATAAATTTAAAATATGACGGAGTTATTAAACGGAGCAATTCAATTAATTAAGATATATGTCATTGATGAAAAAGAATAAATTTAAATCTCTACTCTCATAAATTGTTAAAAGAAAAAAAAAACCAAAAACACAACCCAATCAAGTTCAAACCATATTTAAATTTATTAATTAGAATTTGGAATCACAAAGAGTATATTGAACCTTATGGGTTGGGGATGTGACTAAAGTAAGAGAGGTTCAAAAACTTCATTAATACGAGACATTTTCTTCGATGTTTACATTTAAAGTTAAAAATATCATACTATTGTGAATATATCTAGAGAATTCATTAGTCTCTGACATTATCCATATTATACTTACAAGCCACARCATCAAAAGGAAACCAACCAATTGGCCTCCCCTTCGAGAATCCACTTTTTCTTGCGCACAAAAAAGTTGTTGAAAAAGGGAAGAAGAGAGAATAGGAAAAAGGATATGAAGTATATTTTCATAATTTAATGCAAGGCACACCCAATATTTGTTTTAATAAATAGTAATTAAATTCCTAAATCTTTGATGATCATATTCCCTTCCACTAATCCCTTTTGTAAGTGTGAAGACTCGAGCTTTCCCACAAATCTGCCAAGACACTCACGTGCCACATATCTTCTGGTACAAACATGCTGCAGTACTGGTTGGTTCTCAAATTTGGAATCCCAAAGAATTCCCTATTCCTTGAGTAAGAATGGCAAATTTTGGAGCATTAATGGTGTAATGTAATAGAATTATGGACATGTAAAAAGTCAAAAAAGTTAACCAAGAATTAAGGGCACCGAATTAACTGGGCCATCATGGATGCCCCTGCACTGCACTGCACGCTCCTCCATGAGCATGAGCTGGTTTTTATACCCTACTTTCCTTGCTCCCCCATGAAAGGAATCCAACCATTTGAAAAAGCTAAAGTTTTGCAGTGTGGGTGTAAAGAAGCTTTTTGGGTAGCCCCCATAATAAAATCTCTCAGTCTCTGCTTTTATTTTCTCTCCACCCACCCTTTCGTTTTCACTCGAGACTCTGCTTTCTCTGTGATGAAGGTTGTTGGAGTGTTGATTTGCCTGCTGGTGGTGGCCATGGATATCGTGGCCGGCCTACTCGGCATCGAAGCCGAAATTGCACAGAACAAGGTAATGAAACAAAATTACAGAGAGAGGGCTTGGTTTTATCTGATATTTGCTCTGTTTTTTGGCTCAAGGAAGTGGCAATTTTGTTGAGTTTTTGAGTACAGGTTAAGCAGCTGCGGCTGTGGATATTCGAATGCAGAGAGCCAAGTGAGCAGGCTTTCAAGCTGGGATTAGGGGCAGCGGGACTGCTGGGATTGGCCCACATAATTGCTAATCTGCTGGGCGGCTGCAACTGCATTTGCTCTCAAGAAGAGATCCAAAAGTCTCCCCCTAACAGGCAACTCTCCCTCGCATGCCTCATCTTCACATGGTAATCTCCAACCAAATTTGCATAATTAAGCCTAAATCAAAACGTAATCGGGTTTTGGGTTTCAGGATAATTCTAGCGGTGGGGATGTCGATGCTGGTGATTGGGACATTGTCGAACAACAAATCCAGAGCATCCTGTGGATTCACACACCATCACTTTCTGTCAATCGGAGGGATTTTGTGCTTTGTTCATGCCTTGTTTTGTGTTGCTTATTATGTTTCTGCCACTGCTGATGAGTAATATTGGAAGTCACAATTTCTGCTTAGTGCTTCAAATTCCAAATTCCTTTTCTTTTTTTTTCTTTTTTCCTCTCTTTCTTTCTTTCATTCATTCATTCATTCTACAGGGTATGGCATATCAGACAAAAACTAATCCAATCATTGTTCTTTTCTTCTCTATTAAGCATTGCCCTCCCTCCCCAAAAATTTAAATAACCCACAAATATGATATTGGATTTTCTTTAGGGCATTATGGTACAAGTAAGGGGAAAAGGAGAATCCCTTTTTGGGCCCCAATATTTAATAGTACTTGCTGCTCATAATGATAGGATTATCGAAGGATTAATTTGTTGAGATCATGCTGTAAACTCGATCAAATGAGAGAGAGGATTCTCCGGAACAACTTGGTGGCAGAGTAAACTCAATCAAATGAATATACATGAGACAATATTTATTAGTAAAAAGATTATTTTACCAATAAACTTCGCAATATGTATTACTCTTAATGTCATCCAATTAGATCTTAAATTTAGTTACAAATTTGTTTATGAAAGTATTCTAATCATTTCTCCGTAGTTATTCAAATTTAATAATATTTCATTATTATTCAATTATATTTAATATTGAATTTTTAATCAAGTGTATAATTTAATAATTATGCGACAATCTAAGTACCAAAATATCATGATCTCTAACAAAACATTATCAAAATCGTATTTACAAGTGCCTTAATAATTAAGAGTTATTTTTATTATAAAAAAATCAAAAGTAATTTCTTCATCCAACTACAAGATTTGATTATTATTATTTTAAAGTACAAAAGATAAAAGAAACTAAAAAAAAGTTAAGGGACTCTTTGGTTAGAAAGTTATTAGTGAATCAAATGGATACCCAACAACTTTTTTATGTTTTCAGTATTTTTACATTCAGAATTTAAAATTTTTAAGATACATATTACATTAAAACTGATGAAAACTTTGATAAATATATTACTACATATTATATATAATTTATTCTAAGCTATATAACTTTGTAAAATAATAATTATACAAAATTCATTAAAAAAATATTAATTAATTAATTAATATAAGTTTAGATTAAATGTAACTATTTTAGTTTGAACACAATTTTTGAAAAGTGGTCTTTGGAGGGCATGAGAAAAGGTATGTCCCACTATAAGATTTGATTATCATAAAATAAAGTTTAAAATATATTAAATAATTGAATTGATGGTTATGTTTTGCTTATTAGTATTATTATTATCTTTTATATGAGAACTACTTGAAAAATTAAAATAAGAAACAATAGTTTGTCATATTTGTATACAAAAAAAATAAGTTACAAATATGACAATTTCTCCCTATATATCAGTAATTAGAAGCAGGGAGAATTGCATGAAAGATTTTAAAACGAGGGTTCCACCTTTGAATTCCATGAAAGATTTTACCGTAATCGAGGATAAAATGAAGTCATCAAAGGGGAATCAATTCCTTAAATACAAACAGAATTCTATTTCTGATAGATGACTCTGCTCGCAAAGTTACGCCAGAAATTTTTGTAGCAGATTTTTCTCTCTTTCATTCACACAAAACAATTCCGACATGTAGAATTAAAAATATATGCAATCTAGGACGATGAAGATGAACTCTCGCCGTCGTCTTCCTCGTCGTCCGAAGAATTTGACTCCTCGCCCACCCGTCGTTCTGCGATCGCCGGAAATAGCCGCTTCCGAAGATCTGAATTCTGCTTAGAAGTAGCCGACGGTGTCGGAGGTTCTTTTTTGGAACTCTTCGCTTGCTTTGCCGCAGCTTCAGCTGCTTCTTTAACCTGTTTACACGTCTTGTCCAACACAATTAAGAAATCTCGTACGATCGTGAATAATCGCAATCCTTCGTCCTTTCCAGAATTTCCATGGAAGTAATCCACCGTGCTCTTTACTAGTGCCATTATCTTCTTTTCTTCTCCTCCAATCCACGCTATATCCGCTTCTGCTTCCTCCAAAAATTTAGACACCGATTGGAGGAATTTGCTGTCTTCGTCTAAACTTTTCATCTCCGCATTTATAAATCCTTTGGCTTTCAACAGAGACTGCCCGAGTTTCGATATGGTCGTCGTCAGGCCTTCCGGTTCTATGGCTGCTGCCTTTTTAACGTCCGCAAGCTCCGTGCTCAAACCAGAAACTACCTGAAGGCCTAATTGCCGATAGCGTTCCGCTGAATCATCGGTGAAGTCCTCGAGAATCGTATCGGCGGAGGATATACTGGAGAGGCTTCGACTTTCTCTGGCTGAGCGGGCTGCTCGTATGCCCTCCGAACGAACAATCTCCTGTACAACAAAGTGTAAGAGCGAAGTCTTGCCGTCGGTTCCTTTAACATCAGCCAGTTTCAAGAGCGTGTCGAGCTTAAACGCCTGAGCACCGCCACGGTACGTCCCCACGTTCATCCGATTGCCAGTTTTGAGGACTGCTTCTAATAGCTTTAGAAATAGCCTGCTGTTTCTGAGCTTGTTGGAAGCAACCTAACATTTAGCAAGTAGTGTATGTGTAAATTAAATGCAATGGTTTACAAAGTGATCAAGTTTTTCTTTGATTTTTTCATAGAATAGTCACCTCAAGAGTTGCAAATGACTCTTTAATGTTAGTGACGTCTTCCGCCATGGAGAGCATGAAAAGAAGACACTCCAATCTTTTAAAAGCAAATGGAATGTCCACCAACACTTTGAGGAACCGTTCTGCAGGACCTAGCTGAGAAAGGTCACCCGTGAATAATCTCAATTTGAGTTCCTCTTCTGTTGTTGGTGCCATCTTCAACAAGGTTTGGAGAAGCTCCGCTGGAAGATCAGGATTTCCTGTACATAATTGGATCGAAACCCTCAATTAATTCCATCAATTAACCCAAATGTAAATTTATTTTCTTATCAAATCACTAGCATTACACAAAACACAAGTTAGAGAGAGAGAGAGAGAGTGCCTTCTTGAAGGGCATCCAAAACTTCTGCTGTTGTCACATTGAGTGCTCGTAGCAGAATTGAAAGGTTTTGAGCTTTCTTAGCGTCGATGATTTGAATGTACTGCACTGAAGAATCCGAAACTGAATCTTTCCTGCGTTCTCTGTTAGCTTCCGCAGCTGTATATCCAAACAGAGACTCCATCATCTCCTCATTGAATCTGCAAATTTTTATAATGATATTATTTTGTCTATTAACACCCAAATCCCTTTCGTATAATAATTCAGTGCTAAAAATTTAGTGCTTAAGAATACTTACTGGAAAGACCCACCACTGATCTCATGCCAGACCATGGATTGGCCAGGGTTGGCAAGAACCTTATCCCAGAAGAAGGGCTTTAACTTGGTCTTTTGGCCACCTGAATCCGCATCCATACTTGAGCCACTAGGTCCACGCTTATGTGGTCCCAAAGGCGCTGCTTGAGGTTTACCAGGAATTGCTCCCGGTGGGGCAGGTGGCGGCCGACCAACTTTCATGGGTGGTGGGGGTGGGGCCCTAGATGCAGGGGGCGGAGGTGCTGGAGGTGCCGTAGCTGCTGCTGCTGCTGCTGCTGCTGATGGAGGTGGAGCTGCATCGGGAGGCTGAGAGTCTTGTCTTCCAGGTGGGGGTTTCAGAGGCGGCATTATTGATGGGTTACCTTCAGACGTTACACCCTCACCATTAGAGGTACCATTTTCAGGATTCACCGACAAGTTACCAACAAAACAGGGTGCTTTATTTCCATTATCAGCGCTGAACTCTTTCGTTCCTGAATTTCCAATGGTGTAAGACTTCTGTGAAGAACCTAAAATATGCAACTTACAAATATCATTTGAAAAGTCGTGAGTTGGAAAAAATAAAAAAATGAGAGAACATAAGCCAAAACATAATACCCGCTGATATTTCGCTCAAAGATATGTTGAGAAGAGGTCTCTCATCCTTTAGCCCAATCTGCGGTTCAACCTTACTTTTCTCACCACTGCGACAGCAGAACAAAAGCATGGCAACCACAAGAACAACTAGCACACCAGTTGCAACCACAGCGGCAATTATGACCGTCTCGCTGTTATCCTGCTCCTCCTGCTCCTCTGAAGGGTGAGGCTTGGAAGGAGCACGTGGAGAAGGTGGTGACCGGACCACCGGGGCTGGAGGCGTATCAAAGTTATCTGCGTCCTTGTCCGTGTTCTCGTTCTTGTCCTTGTCCTTGTCCTCCTTTGGTGGCGGTGGAGAGCGCACCTCGTCATTGTCCTCCTTTGGTGGTGGTGGAGAGCGCACCTCGTCCTTGTCCTCGTTGGATGGCGGAGGAGAGCGCACCTTGTCCTTGTCCTTGTCCTCGTCCTTGTTGGATGGCGGTGGAGAGCGGGCGACCGGAGACTTGACAGGATCATGATTCTTTGGTGATGGAGCCTTGGCTGGGGCTTCAGCAGAGGGCGACGGTGCATCGCTCTTCGATGAAACTGGAGCATCACTTGGAGATGGTGATGGAGAATCTGCTGGTGAATCTGGTGAAGGGGATGGGGATGGGGATGGGGATGGGGCTGGAGCTTCAGCAGCGGCGTCCGTTGGTGGCGAACTTTCTGACTTGCTAATCAGATGTCTCATGGGAATATTGGATCCCCCGAAGATCATTTCAACTGGCCTTATAAGCCAATCGTTAAAGCTGGGACGTTCTTCCGAAGAAGAACGAGAAAGCACATTTTTCCTTCTAAGACAATCCAATAAGCCCTGTTTCATGTCAGGAGGCAGAATTCTGATAGCTCTATCTCCGTTCCCTTTTTGGACACAAGGAACGAATTCTTCAGTTTTATATTCCCCCTCTGCCAATTCTCTCATGCACGCCAGCTCGCTCTGTTATCACACTATTATATCAGAATTTAGTGATATTTTGCTCACGGTGAGAGAGCTCATATATGCATCATTCAATTCCTCTTTCATGAAAAGGGAAGAAAAATAACAAAAAGGAACGAGTCACATTCCAAAAATAATTGCCTCTTCCCCAACAAGTCACATTCAATTCATGTTATTATCTATCTTTGATTCCAAATGTGAATTGTCTTGATATCAAACAAAGATATGCAGACAAATTGGTGCTCTAAGCTCAATTGAACGTAAGAAGTATTCAAATATAACCAGAAAAGGCAGAATCAAAAAGTATTATGAAAAGAAAATGCATTACCATATGTGCTCCCAACTCCGAGGATGTGAGGCGGCAATCATCGGCACTGAAGAGAACCATTTCGATCGTCTTCCTTCTGCCCTCTGAACTCGCTATTGCCAATGCACAGAGCAGAGTCACGAAAATGAACACATAACCGGCTCCTCTCAACTCCATTTCTCTCTGCATCACCATCCCATCCGTATATTTCTCTTCTCATTTCATCGAACTCCAAGGAATTTCTTGCCTGAAATCCCTCTAAACGAACCAAGTCATCGAATTCGCGAACCACAGCTTCCTGAGTCGCTACGCATTTTACCGACTTTGCCAATAATCCACGTAAAGTTTTCCGACGAGAAATTGATTGGAGAATTGGAATGTCAAACGCTCAGAATGTTACGAATTGAAACGTGCGAACCAATAGCCCACCACGACTAAAGCATAAAATATACGAAAAAATCAACCAAATACATTCAATCACATGCACAATTCTTGTCGAATTCACAAAATTACGAGATTTCGGAGTTTGAATTCTTGGCCTGAGGATGATATTCGTGTTCTTCCTGGGCAAAATTTTCTCCGGTTGTTTGATTCCTTTGAAATCAAAAGTTGAAACTTCTTTTTTCCCCCCCTGATATTTCGAAGATATCTTTTCTTGATATCCGGAAGGGAGGAGAAAAAATGATGCGCTAAGCAGACGTGCCGAGAACTATGTGGGAAACCCTTAACCCACAATTTTTTAAAACCTTTTAATTTCTTTTGTGCCCCTTATTTTTCGAATATTATCTGTTTACACCTCCAACTAAGCTATATTTACATAATTGGAATATCCTTTTTTCAATATTAACTTTCTTCAAACTCAATTGGATTGCTAATTAAATTTGAGTGGCTACTATGGCGCGGCTCCGAAAAGGAAATGGAAGCTGTCAGGAGATAATTGGGCAGCGCTCGGTAAGACAAAATTAATTAATTTTAATCGCGTGCCACTCTGTAATTACGAAGGGATCTATAAAAAGGAATTGGCTTTGGGCAAATCTCCAACCAATCCCATCCATATTTAAGTATTGTTTGACCCTTGCGTACACCTCACACTCCATTTTTCTTTTTTTCTTAATATTTGAATTTGGGGAAGTTGAAATTTTGACTAATCTTGACATGTGAGCTTATTTGAGGCTAAACAGCCTGATTTCTTTTCCTTGAGATCTTTTTTTTTTTTGGAAAAATGTTAATTACACTTTGTAAAGGTTGACTCTAATAAGCTAAGCTGTTATAGTTATATTTTATTTTATATTTTGAAATGAGAAGACTTTACATAATAACGGTGACATGTAGACTACATTTGAAGAGACATCATCTTTATAATGCTCAAAAGTCAAAAGGAAAATTAATGGACCAAGAGTTTGTTGTAGAGGGTAAAAATCCATTTTTGTTAAGGAATGTGTTGCCTTGTTACACAATGGACATACAAGAAGGCGATGTAATTGAAGGTGACGACAAGGTTTTGATGTTAAAAATTTCATTGTTTAGTTTCTTAGTGTATCGATTTCACCCTTCTGAAGCTAATTGTTATGAGAGGGTCAATATTATAGAAGGTGAGAGTAATTTATGGATATTGCAAGGTGAATTCCTTCCAAAATTGCTAACAATTCCGTTAATAGAAGCGTGTTTATGTTGCCCCAATTTTACGGAGTGGGCTATAAAGGAGAAGACCAAAATCCGTAACACAAGTTCATAGCAATAAGTAATTTTTGTGTTATTTTGTAGAAGCTCGAGGGAGAGGAAGTCACAACATATATTTAATGAAATTGAAGCAAAAATTGTCAAACAAGTCTTCGTGGCTTATTGATTTTTTTTGAAATTGAAGTTTTTGCAACTTAATATGTATTTGGAGTCCATGAAATTGGTTTTTTTTTCACCTCATGTATGATTGGAATTTTTTAAAAATACGTATTAAATACATGCCATGGAGCAGAATTTCTCTTTCAAAATCACTAATACTATATCAAATAAGTAAACTTACGTTGTTAATAACAAGATTTAATAAACTATTATGAAATCTGGTAACATTTATTTCATCTGGGGATGTAGCTCAGATGGTAGAGCGCTCGCTTAGCATGCGAGAGGTACGGGGATCGATACCCCGCATCTCCAATTCCCACATATCTTTTCCCTTTTTTCCCCATGGCTCTGGAGGGCCCATATTTTTCCTGGGCCGAAGCAACGAAGTAGTTATATTGGGCCTCGGGAGGAGCCCATTGAACTCAGAATAGTGGGAGAGAGAGAGAGAGAGAGCTGTGCATGAAAAGAAAACTTCAGAGAAAAAAAAAAAACCATTTAAAAAAGTTGCAAAGTTAGAAAGAATCAGATTGTGTCATGAATGAGCGAGGTCGGAAGCTCCTGGGTAGTTGTTTCTTTCATTTTCATTGCGTCATGGTACGACCATTTCCTCCTTGTTCTACTTCCCCAAATTCGATTCCCCAAAAATTCTCTCTCATTTTCATATTCTCTTCTAATTATCATATTACTTTTGTCTTTCACTGCAACCTCTGTTTTTTTTCTTTAATTATTATTATGTTTACGTCTCTCAATTTTGGATGTCCTATTTATCTTTATCACATTTAGAATAAAACAAATACTTATCGTGAAAACAAATATTTTTGGTAAGATTTTGGTTGAAGATAATAAAATTTAATTTCAAATGAGAGAGGTGGAAGAAAATAGTTAAACGGTAAATGACAGGTCTGAGTGATGACAAACAATTAGAAACTAAAACAAATTGTGAAAAAATAAAAAAGAAAGGTAAATTGTGATAAATAGCATAAATATAGTATAAAAATTAAAATTTTGTAATGACAGTTTTGTAGAGCAAGTGACTTTCAGTGATGTCACGAGTTAGATAGATATCTATCATATAGTGTGTATGAAACATGTATGAACTGATATATTGATAATTTTGAAAAGAAAAATCATATTTTCTGGTTTGTGCTAAATTTGAGATTACTTTGAGTCATGAACCGCCTAGAAGGAAACATCTTTGGAAAACATATTTATAAGGATTTTGAATTTGGCATCTACATTTTAGTATTTCCAAATGGAAAATGAAAAATCGCCGAACAATCCTTTGCAGCTTTCTTCTGTAATTTCGAAAAACCAAAAAACTCAGCCCCAAAACTCAGGTCAATGATAAATCCAATCACACTTCCCCACTCTTCCTGAATTAATTAATCAAAATGATGATGATCATTTTGGGTGGAAAAAATGGAAATGACCTCGCCCTGAATAGAAAAAAGGGAAAAAAGCAAGAAAATTTGAAAACCAGGCCATGGCCCCCACCATGGTCCCCAGCGCCCTTTTTGCTCCCACACAATTGCCTCCTCTTTCTATTTTCCATCCAACCAAACAGTTTCGGAAAGTGTTATTTAGTATTCTCCATCCATGGTGGGTACGCTTTAATTTTCTAGTTCATGCAGCCTCTTCTTCCCTCCAAAACCACCAATGGACTACTCTTCCGGCAATTGGAATTGGCTCTTCGACTACACTACAATGGATGATATCGCCGTCGCCGCCGCCGACTTCTCGCCGCCGCAGTCCATCAGTTTCACCTGGTCCAATCCCTCCATCAACTTTTCATCCAAAGACAGGTGGGTGTTATGCTATACTATACCTCCGCTTTAACTATTCCTTTAGTCTCCGAAATTCAAATATGGGTGTCCGTAGGGTGCGAATTCGTTTTTGTCAAAATTTGAATGAGTTTCTTACTTGCTTTGGAGATGGGTATTTTTGTACACCCTTTTTTATTCCTATTATCCTGTATATGGTTATTATGTTCATTCAAAAACCGAACAGCCAATCAGCTACAACATATGGTCTTCCCCCTTTAACTCTCTCCTCTGCTTTTGCGCAAGGAAATATCAATTGGCCAATTTCTGTTGCTTTTATGTCGCTAGGAGGCTATTAGGGACTGAAGAAGTCAGTTTTTTTGCTGCTTTTGTGCCTTTAAGGGGCACTTGTATACGGAAGCAAAAGTTATTAGCTGTAAATTTTGGCTTGATCTTCACTACTATGCTATAGCATGTGATAAACTGGAGAATCTTTTTAGCAAGTTAATAATCAATTAGTCCTGTTTCCTCATGCGGATACAAAACATTCTAGTTCCCATGATCCCTCTTGAACATTGGGTGGTGGACTTGTTGGATCTGTACCTTTCTATTGTTCTATTTTTAATTTGATGTCAGATCAATTTCCTCAGAGGGGTTCAATTGTTTTGGTTGGCATCAGGTTGTAAATATTACTGAAGTGTAGATTAGCATATACAATAACACTTGGTAAATCTTAACTATCTTTAGTATTTTAATTATTTTTTGTGATTATTTAATTTGTCTCTTTATGGATCATGTTATTATGGCAAGTTTGGTTTTGGAGATATGACGTCAATGATAGTTCAGTCAAAGGTATTAATGAGCTCCTGAGCCTCTTAGATGGGATGATTCATGCTGTTTTTGGTCAAGCTTAAAAATATTGCTGATTTGGTGAGAGCATCATTTAGGAGTCCCTGTTTTCATCTAATTACCAGCTAACGCTTACTCAAGCCTGTAGGGTAATCTAAATTCATTGCTTTATCTTATACATAAGTAAAGGTCTTACAGTTTTACTCTCTAGTAAAAGGATAAGCCTCCATAAAAGGATAAGCAAAGCTGGATCCGTTAAGCCCTGACTGTGTTGGAGTTTGCATGCGTGAAATGAGTTTGTTTTTATCTCAAATTTTCATTGTTATTGACTGGATATTTACTTTTTCCAGCCTGGATGTAGACTGCTCATGTGGAGATCAGGACAGCTTACAGGAAGTGGGTCGGAAACGGTAAGCTCTATCTGGTATTACTGAAGATTTGTCAAATGTTTGGAGTAGCTAAACAAGGTGAAGTACGTTTTTGTTTACTAAACTATCTGCAAGGAGCTACAATGTATCATTATCTAAACAAAGCTAATATTGAAAGAAATGACTACTTATCCTGGAAATCAAAATGGAAGCATTGACTGTTAGGAGTTCAGCTTGAGTGTAAATGTGCTAGTAGAAGTCATTATTATTGTTCTCATTCCCATTCCCTTCGAACTCAAGCTGGAAGAAGTGACCAAGGGCAAAAATGTTTCCTCAAAAAGCCACCACTAGAGATAGATATAATAGCCATATCGCTTCAGATTGTAATGTCATAAGACATAAAAACTCCTCAATTGATTCTATCACGCAGAAGAAAGAAGAGGAGAGAATATTGATCGATGTCATAATCCCATCATGTGGCGGGGTGAATCTTGTAGTCATATTTTTAATGATCTTAAATAGGAAGCTACGCTTAAGTTAAAACAAATTATATCATTTATAGATCCTCATATATTATATAGGCCAAGGGCTGAAACAAGTGCGGCATCTGCCTCCAAAGCTTGCAGAGAGAAATTGAGGAGAGATAAGCTGAATGAGAGGTACCATGTTATCAATTATTACTTTATTCTTCAATCTCTTTGTACTAATGCACCATCTTATAATGATTGCAAGGTTCTTAGAATTGGCTGCAATCCTGGAACCTGGAAAACCACCCAAAACAGACAAGGTTGCAATCTTGAGTGATGCTATCAGAATGGTGACTGATTTACAATGTGAAACCCAGAAGCTGAAAGAATCAAAAGAGGATTTGAAGGCAAAAATCAAAGAATTAAAGGTGAGATCGATACGGTACCCAATGGACCTACCAAGCTCGTTTCCACCTTGAATGAGAACTTTTTATAAACACTTGCTTGATCTGTTCTCCTCTTCTTGCTATCACCCTTCATGTACATTTGAAGAGTTCACTTCCATCTGATACACAAATACAGGAATATACTATCTCTTGATTTCTAAGCTCAGTATGCTTACAGGTTGAGAAAAATGAACTTCGTGATGAGAAGCAGAGGTTGAGAGCTGAGAAAGAAAAGTTGGAGCTGCAAATCAAAGCGGCAAATACTCAAGCAGCTGACGTCCAGCGTCCTCCCTCTGCATTGTCAGCTGCATTTACAGCACAAGGGCAAGCTGCTGGCAACAAGTTGATGCCTTTCATTGGTTATCCTGGCATTGCCATGTGGCAGTTCTTGCCACCTGCAGCAATCGACATATCCCAGGATCACGTGCTCCGTCCACCGGTTGCTTAAAGGGGAGGACAATTGACTTGGTTCGTTTACCTGTGCTGTTGTGATTAACTATGGCCTTTATATGTTTATGTTCTGTTTTAACCGTGTGTTTGGTTTTCAATTGTTGAAGAAGCTTCTGGTGGTGTGAAGACTAGCAGATCATGTTACATTGCTAACTCTATATAAAATAAAAGCAAGTGTTTACATAATTTCTCTATGTTTTCTCATCTCAGTTAAAATACATAAGTTTGAGCTTATATTTACTCAAGACCAAGATTCTTTTACTTCAAAATAAATCTGAGACCAGTCAAACATACAGCCGTTGTCTTGAATTTGATGACAAGTAGTACGAAAAGTTTGATGGTTAACTTTAATTTGCTTTATATCTAAAAGAATGGCCAATAGAGAGAATCTTTCCTTTGATGAAATGTTTGGGAATGCCAGAAGGCAGCTTCTTTAATATCTCAATTATGTCCACTCCTCGATATTCTTGCTCATTGATTAGCAATGCAGMTCATCAGTTGGGAATCATTCTCAGTCAGATCATCATTTGTAATGTCTGTAAGATAGTTTGAAATGGCCTGGCTAGTAAAAAGCCTTTTTATTTATTGGAATGGTGTAGATTGAAAGCATCAGTGCAAAAAATGACARTGGAATTACAGTGAAATGTATATGGAAAATGAATAATTTTCAGATGGCCAAGAGCATTATGATGACGAAGCTGAATCCAACAGAGAGATGAGCCGTGAAGCGGCATTTGTAAGCCGATGAAGGCGGCGGTGGCGGCGGAGTTGTGGGAGGTGCTGTAGGATTCAATGGCATGTCAAATGGARATGGAGGGGTCGGAGACTCCGCCTCCGGTGCTGGCGCTGGTGATCGTGGAGTTGGTCCAGGAGGCGGCGCCGGCGGGCTCACGTGAGAATCAGGTGGTGGAGCCAGAGGAGATTTTGTTGGGGGTTTCGCAGCAGCTTTAGGGGGTGCAGCCGGAGAAGAAGTAGGTGGTGCCGGCGGAGGGGACGGAGTTGCTTCCGGCGGCGGCGAAGAAGTTCCAAGGGTGTCGATTTCAATCTTCATTCCRGTGCTGCAGTGGCCGGGCGTCCCACAAATGAAGAATCTCTTGCCGGCGGTGGAAAGACCGATGGCTGTGCTGCCGTCGGTGTGCTTCTCAATCGGATTGCTCGCTGAACACGAGCTGAAATCTGCCTCATTAACTTCAAGCACATCGTGGTTCGCTGAGTACTCAAAAACTGTCAAGGATTCAACCGGTAAAATTTCAGTTTGGTTCCAATTAGAAACAAACTATTGAAAATGGGCAAGAAATAAAATGAAAGGACCAACTTAGAACATCCCCAACGACGAATTTTTTGGAGGAAGCCCAAGATTTGAAATCGGTGCCAATTTCCCAGCCACCAGAATCTCCAACCGTGTAATTAGCAGCCATGGCTAATTGAACCACCATTGTGGCCGCAACCGCCAACGCCAATAGCGTTCTTGAGGCGGCCATGCTGAAGCAGAAATTCAAATCCTCAAAGCCACAGAGACAAACTTGAATGGGCTTCTCTTTGCGTCTCTGTTTACATAATTAAGCTTCTATAAAAAGACGTGCCAATGATAAGCTGTGTTTCAGAATTTCAACGTCGCGTGCCTTAGTTTAATCTCTAATGAAATTAAATATTTGTTCAAGTGTTCGGAATTGTTCAAAGATGTCGTGAATATATTTGCTATTGAAAATTCATTCAAATTGTTTTCCGCCGAACCCTCGCGGGGCTCATAATGGAGCTATATGGAGTTTGTTTTGTGGTGTCCATGTCAGTGCGAAATTGCAAGCACGTTTAAGGCTCATTTTTTAGGCTTAAGATAAGATTTTACCAAAATAATAATAATAAAGAAGGAACACAAACATGCAGCAGCAGAACGTACAATCAGTGATCTGGTCAACTTGTGTTAAAAAAAAAAAAGAATTATTTGGTCAACTTGATTATTGTATAACAGACGATKGTGTTAGTTGTTGGGTTGAGATGAGAATCAACAAAATTAATCCAGGTCAACGGGTACCATCTGGAGCCAACTGTGTTTATTTAATTTTAAATTTGAAATTACCTGCCCTGTTTGTGCATATAGAAATGAAAGTCCACACTCCACAACCACAACAACACTACAAAAAAAGAAATTGAACTGGCCGCTGGGATATATAATAACTGCCCCCATATGAGTAYCCCACTTATATAGCTTTTTCTAGGTTGGTTAGATTTGGATTGGATGTTCATTTGAGTTTTTTAGACTTTGATATCCTATTAATATTTATGGTGTCCAACTCAAATTTACTATCCTATGTTATAAATCATTGTTATGTATCTTATCTTTTCAATATGAGATTCTCAACGCATTCGTTTAGAATTAGAAGATGAAGAACCATAGTAAAGGTAAAATTTGTATAATTTAATTCGTACCTCATGGCTTATGCTGCAGCTCAAGGTAATCACTAATTTTCATAAATAACCAATTAATCTACTATAATATTCATATATATATATAATTGTTATTTTTGTGTTAACAAAGCTTAACAGTGAGTTCAAATTCTCTTTTTCCATTTATTGTACTAAAAAACAATTGTTTTTATAATATTTTAAATGAATTGGGCTGGACGCGGGTATGAAAATATGGGCGGGCTTAAAGGTTTAAGGAAGCACTGCCTCCCTGACTTGTAAGCCCAGGATAAAAAATAGTGGGCCGATTCGAGAAGCCCAAAGTTCACCCAATTTTCTTCTTCTTAAAGCAAAATTAATACTATTCCATATATATACATATTTATCCTTTTATAATAACTAATCAATATTACTCTGTCCCTTTCCATTTTTTACCATAATCTAAAAAATGTCAGGTTTTTAATGACATTCTCAATCGGTTCTTGAAAAATAATATCAATAAGAAGGATATATTTGAACTTCCTTGAGTTTTACTCAAATAAATTTTTTATTGGCCGTTGAAGAATTTACAAATTTAACTACTTGTCTACCCTAGCCTACTTCAACTCAAATTAATAATAGGAAATAAAGATAAACAAACATTTATAAGTCAAGGAACATAATTACAAATTTTGAATTTAAAAAACTTAATAAATACATACACTACAGAATTCAAAATATAATGACGGGGTTGGGAATTCAACCTTTTAATTGTGTTTCCTTGGTGGGGTGAACAAAGTGACGTTAAATGAAACTAAAGGCAAATTTAATTTTGTTTGCTTATTACCGTACCTTGGTATCTAAGTAATAGGTCCATAAATAAAAGTTTAGATATATAGTAAATGGAGGCATTAATTAATTAAGAAAAAAAGAATTGTAATCTGGTAGCTTAAAGAGGTAATCACATTGGAAGTTGGAATTTGGATGGGGCCTGTAACTAAGGAGAGGGCACATGGAAAATGGCCTCGGCCTTCGCCAAATTAAGCACAACAAACTGGATTTTACGCTTCTTCGCAACTTCAGTTTTATTTATTTCTAATTTTTCGAATCACAGACTGAAGAGCAGTTGCAGTTTCGTCTTCCTTACGACAGCTTCATATTGTTGACTTCCAATTTGCCTCTAAATCGCTAGCATCGACCTCTGTACTTCAACCTACGACCATACTAACATAGTTTAATTGAATAGAATAACATAGATACATATATCAAGTCGAACCAAGTTTAAGTGAATAAAATAATTGCCAATCCGAGTGTTTCAGAATAAAAGGTCATGAGTTCGAATCTCCCGCTCCCACTTACTCTATAAGAAAAAAAGTGATAATATAATTTTTAAAGATTTGATTTCACTTTAAATTTGTAAAATGTGATAATTTAGGCAACAAATAAAAAAGTAGTTGCAAAAAGAGGAAGAAAATGTTTTGTTTTGAATTGTATACTTTCTACAATGCATCATTTTTTAATGACTCTTCATTTTGTTAGATTTAATCTTATGTGAATGTTAACATTTTCTACCTACCAAGTTAAAACATTAGCCATGAATTATCAATAAATTACAAAAAAATTAAACGAATAAAACTTTCTTAACCGAACCACATAAATATCCAAACTCTAATATTCAACAGTACATAACACCTAACATTTTTAAGGATGAATAAATGGGAGGAAACGACAATGCAGAGGTTCGAACACAAGATCAAGACCTTCTGCTCTCATACCATATTAAAGAGAAATAAACCACAACTCAACCCAAAAGTTTGAACTGATGGATTCCATAAATTTAATTCAACGTGAGTCTAACTCAATTGGTTAGACTAAAAGATGATATATTCGAACTCACTCCTAAGTCCTACATATTGTTGTATTAAAAAAATATATAGATTAAAATACTATTTAAGTCAATGTACTTTCAACTTTAATTCATTTTGGTCATGTTTATTCATTTTAATCTCCGTACTTTAAAAATATTCATTTTGATATTTGTATTTTTAAAAAGTGACAATTTCGATCTCTTAATTTTATTTTTA